CTGCATTTTTTTTTTCCTAGCTGTACTGCCCAATGTGCATTTCAAGTGCTGCAAACATCTTTTTTAAGTTCACTAAATGTTGGTAAATATTTTAGCTTCGTCTTATTTCCTTTTCTAAACATTATCGTCTTTCACTGACCAGGAGAATTTGAGCATGGTGCAACTTAAAGTGCTACTTCAGTTTCAATAACCACTTGTGCTTTTAGAATGGTCATGGTGATAGGAATCTGTACGTACATGGTTTCGGCTTGAAACGTTGCCACATACAAAGATATTGCAGTTTTGTGCTCCCTCCCTTTGCATGCTCTTCCATCCCTTCCTGCCTCCCTCCATTGACAGTCATTGTTTTTTGTTTTTTTTAAATCCCTACTTCTATCCAAGCTCCCTCTTTCTCCCTCCCGTCTTCAGCTCAGAGCAGGGACGTACCTAGAGCATTTGGCACCAGTTCAGATGGTAATTGCTTATCTCTGCACTTGTGAGCTATGCCAGCTTCCCGGCACCTCAGCTGCCATGGGGCACAGCTCACACACCCCCCTCCAGCACCCAGACCATGATCATGGCACCCCCCTACCTGGTGGCACCCGGGGCAGACCACCCACCCCCTCCCTTAGTTGGCCACTGGCATATATGCTTTAAGTCAGTTAGATTGGTCCAATTAAATGCTTCTCTAAGAGAAGCATTTTATTGGACGTTGGAGAGAGAAGAAGTGATGTTGGGTAGATGTGGAAACCAGAGTGAAGCTTCACCTGACAGTGTATTCCTGGTAAGTTTTAACTTAATATAATCGGTTTTTGGCACTAGAAAACTGAGGTGGACATAGTTAATAGTGTCCAACAGGGCATTATAGATTAAAACAAAACAAGAAAAAACCTTAAAAATGTAAAAAGTTTTTTTTGCCTTAGAGATATGATCTTAACACAACCCACTGCTTTGTAAAGGTTTTGCGCATATGTTCCAATTTAAAAGAGAAATTAAATAGCTAGCCATTTTCACTGCTGAAATAAAAACACTGTCTGCTTCTGTATATTTACATTCTGGTAACAATAACAAGCGTGTCTAATTTTGTTTCTGATATTCGTAGAATATGAATATATTGCAGGCATACTAATCTGACATTAAAGGGGGTTACACAATCCTAAACGCTCCTTTCAGTATTCTTTGTTCTATGATAAATACTTCGGAACCATAATCCTTTTTAATCCTGCAAGACAATTCATATGTCATTTTTGTAGCTTTGAGTTATACCCTTTAAAACATTCAGCGTCTGTGTTTTGGAGACCAAACTTGGAGATTAAACGATGGGGTCCTAAAGAAAGTTTGACTCATTCCTGACTTTTTCAACAAATTCAGGATTAGTTATGGTTTAATCATTTAACTGCATTGACGAGGAAGGCACAGAACAATCATAAAACTAGAAATCTATACTGATCAACCACGACATTAAAACCGCCTGCCTAACATTGTGTAGGTTCCCCTCGTGCAGCACAAACAGCTCTGATGCATCAAGGCATGGACTACACAAGACCTCTGAACATGTCCTGTGGTATCCGGCAGAAAGACATTAGCATATACTGTAAGTACTGCAAACTGAAGGACTGACCTCAATAGGACTGAGATCTGGGGAATTTGGAGACCAAGGCAACACCTTGAACTCTTTGCCATGTCCCTTAAACAATTCCTGAATTTTTTTTCGCAGTTTGTTAGTGTGCATTATCCTGCAGATATCCTCTGCCATCAGGGAACATCACTGCCATGAAGAGGTGTACATGGCCTACAACAAACTCTAGGTAGGTGTTACGTGTCAAAGTAACGTCTACATGAATACCAGGATTCAAGGGTTCCCAGTAGAACATTACCCATAGGCTAGTCTTTGCTACCAATGTACATCAATGAGCCTTGGTAGGCCATGACCCTGACGCTGGTTTACCAGTTGTCCTTCCTTGCACCTCTTTTGGTAGGTACTAACCACTGCATACCAGGAACACCCCGCAAAACTTGCCATTTTGAAGATGCCCTAAACCAGCTTTTTTAGCCATCTCTATTCAGGCCTTTTTAAAGTCACGTGGATATTTTTGTATGTCCATTTTTCCTGCTTCCAACACATGAAATTCAAGAACTGCCTGTTCACTTGCTGACATATATATCCCACACACTTTACAGAAGTCATTATAACAATATAATCAATGTTATTCACTGCACCTGTCAGTGGTTTGTGGCTGACTAGTGTATGTACAGTAGGGATAATTCACAAAGAACATATTTTAGGAGAACTTAGACTGAGAATTAATCTTCATAGATAATCCCCAATGCAGTTGTGTCAAAATAAGTCATATAGAAACAAAAAAATATCTTAACCTGTCGGGCTTCGGTAAGCAGAAATTTGTGGTGAGTGGAAAACTACTTTGCAAAATAATAGAAATCTGCCAAAACATCTACCTTCTTAGAAGAAGATTATTATTTAATTAAAATAATATCTATGCCCAATGCTTGTTTTCCATTAATTCTATTTTACCTGTCCTCTAATGGCTCTCCTTCCTCCTCCTTAGCTGTAGATTTCTCTCTGCCCCCTCACCGAGTGTGCATGTTTGTAAGTGTGCATGCACACGCACTTCTGTCTTCGAATCTTTCTTAGGCTTTCTGATTGGTCATTTCCTTGTTCAGAGACTGAAAGTCTATTTTGTGGAAGAAATAAATGACTTGCAAGGACTGCAGGCAGAAGACTTTTTTTTTTATATATATATACCCCCAATGACTACATGCATAAATAAATGCATACATGTATTCATCGGGGTATGTATACTAAATAGTGGTTTTATTTATTTTTATTTATGTAGTTTAATAACATTTCAGTGTGGAGTGTTCCATTAAGTATTTAAGTCAAAACTACAAATGCAGCTGCAAAGACCACACATTTATGATTGTCTGTTGGCTGTCTGTGTCAATTAGAAAATAGGTGTGAAAATATGATTACAGAATATGTCACACATTAACATGAATTGCAACGGAGAAGCAATGGTTGCATGTTGATTCTTGCTGACAGAGGAAGACAGAGTCTTAACAGGGTAGTTGCTAAATGCCATAAAAGTAAAACTTTAAACATTAACACAAAAGTACATTTGCAACTTGTGATCCAATGTCAATAAATGTTTTACATCAACAAACTCAGGTAAATATGGCATTGAGCCATTTTACCTAAATTCCTACACCTCAATTGGTTTCAATTTGGAGAACACTAAAGAATGCTTTAAACCCACAAATTGTATTTATATTTATATATTTATAAAATATTTTACCAGGAAAGATACAATGAGATTTCTCCCGTTTTCAAGTATGTCCTGGGTCCACAAATAATTGCATTAGGGTACAATAAAATACAAAAACAATATTAATACACAATAAATACAAAATTTAACATAGAACAGGTAGGAAATATATAATCAACCATGACAGGTGCATTCTGTTTTGAGGTATGTAGAGAGGGATCTCTTAAAGGACTTTAGGCTTAGGGAAGATTTTAAATCGTGCGGGAGGTCGTTCCACAATTGCGGTGCTCTGTAGGAGGAGGATCGGGCCGCTTTCTTTTGTATTGAGGTAGACTAAGTAAAGTGTTGGTATTGGATCGGAGCTTGTAGGAAGTGGGAACAGCTGGGGAAAGCATTTTGTTCAGGTAGGGTGGGAGTTTCCCAGAAAAGCTCTTAAACACAAGGCTGGAAAGATGAAGGGTGCGTCTGGATTCCAGCGACAGCCAGTTTAGTTCTTTTAGCATGTCACAATGGTGGGTCCTGTAATTACCTTGTAGTACAAATCGGCAGAACGAGTTATACAATGTATTGAGTTTATTAATGTGGGATTGTGATGCAGATGCATATACTACATCCCCATAATCAATGATTGGCATCAGCATTTGCTGTATTATATTTTCCTTTCCTGTAGGGCTTAGGCAGGATTTGTTTCTGTACAGGGCACCTAGTTTTGGATAAAGTTTAGACGCAAGCTTTTCTATGTGCAGGCCAAAAGATAGATTGGGGTCTAATATCATACCCAAGTATTTGAAAGAGTTGACTGCAGTCAGTGTGCCATTTGAATTTGTTTTGATGGATAGGTGGGAATTGTGTAATTTGTATAATTTAGGTACTGTTCCAAAGATCATCGTGACAGTTTTGTCAGTGTTTAGGAAGAGTTTGTTTTTTGCGATCCACTTTTCTACCTCTGTAAACTGGTCTTGGAGCACAGCCTCAAATTGCGGTAGATTAGATTTGCTCGCATAGATTACTGTTTCATCTGTGTACATTTGAGGATTTGCAGACATTAGGCAGATCATTTATAAATAATGTAAATAGTAGGGGGCCGAGAATGGAACCTTGGGGAACACCACACGTGACTGTGAAAGGGAGGGATTCGCTGTCAGAAATGGACACATATTGCGAGCGATCCGATACATACGATCAAAACCAGGTTAGCGAACGATCACCAATACCTGAGTTTTTGAGTTTGTGCAGTAGAATGTCGTGGTCTATTGTGTCAAAGGCCTTAGCAAAATCAAGGAAAATAGCTCCAGTTAGGGCTCCTTGTTCCATGACAGTTTGGATGTCATTATAAACTTTTAAGAGGGCAGTTGTAGTGGAGTGATTCTGGCGAAAGCCCGATTGATCAGGGGTCAGATAGTTTAATTGTTGGTAGTACTCACATAGTTGCGTATGGACACATTTTTCTAAGATTTTTGACAATACCGGGAGCAATGATATTGGGCGATAGTTAGAAACCAAAGTTGTGTCACCACTTTTATGGATAGGCACTACTCTCGCAGTCTTCCAAAGTTTGGGTATGTATCCAGACACCAAGGATTCGTTAATTAGAGTTGTGACGAATTTAGCAATTGCAGGCGCACTGAGCTTCAACAGCATTGCTGGGATTTGATCAGGTCCGGACTGGTTTTTCATTTTTCGATTATTAAGATGTTTTTTAATGACACTAACAGGAGCAGGTCTAAAAATAAACTTGTCTATATTGGGCCTTTGCAAATTTAGTGTGACCTGATCCACATTTGTAGTTTCAGGATGCGTGTCATTTATTAGCTTGGCAATCAGGGCAGTAGAGCATCTGACAAAATAATTGTTAAAGGCATTTGCTACATCTAAGGGAAGTTGCAGGGTTTACCCACTTTGACAGTGGAGGGTTGGGAGTGGATTGGGGGAGTTTGTAGTTTATTTATGACTCTCCTAAAGTTTCTAGGGTTTGATAGGTTATTGTTCAGATTTTCATAGAAATATTGGGCCTTGGCTAATTTTGTCTGTTTTGTGCATATATTTCGCCATTGTCTATATGCACAGTGATCATTCATAGAGCCAGTACGCTTAAACTTTGACCACAAAGAATCCCGAAACTGGTACATTTGGATGAGGTCAGCTGTGATCCAGTTCATATGTGCTCCTTTTACCCTCACCTTCCGCAGCGGGGCATGCAAATTCCAAATTTGTAGGAGTTCAGACTGAAAGAATTCAACAGCACAGTCTAGATCTGGGACAATGTTTAATCTGTGCCATGGGAGGTTCTTGATCTCATTAAGAAAGGATTCAAGATTAAATTTTTTGAAGGACCTAGTTATTTAATAGCCTTTATTTTGTGCACGCAGTACACTAAACAGTGATCACTGAAAGTGTTTGGGAAAAGACCGGCCTCCTGGATTCTATCAGGAGAAGTGGAGAGAATCCAATCGAGCAGAGTATGGTCATGGCTTTTAATTTTATGCGAGTTGGGGAGGAGATTAATTGCGTTAGCTGCAAAGTCTTAAACAGCGAGCAAGAACTATTATTTTTAGGATTCAGCAAATCAATATTAAAATCTCCAAGACCAACAGTTCACTTTTTGGGTTTTGCGCTATGGTTTCACTAAGGAGATGGGCTATGTCAGAAAGGGAATGCACAGGGGAGCTAGGTGGGCAGTAGATTCCTGCAGCGATTGATTTACTGCACGGGATCTCAATTGTGCCAGAAAGGAAATCAAAGGTGGCAGGAGGACTAAGGTTTTGTAAAGGGGTAAACTTTATGGAATTGTCAACATAAATAACAATGCCTCCTCCTATCTTTGCTCTGTCATTTCTAAAAGATGAATACCCCTGTATTGCAATGGCAAGAGGAAGAGAGAGAGAGAGAGATTGAACGTGTGAATATTTGTACATATTTTAAAACCAAATGCAACGTACACAGTACAAATGCAGTAGGTATATGAAAACATTAGTAAAATCAAGCATTAAAATGCATAGCAAGAAAAAAAAAATATGAGATCTCTATTTAATCAATACACTGTTTATAATTGCCTTTAACATGAAGCTGGTTTGTAAACGTGAATAGCAGCTGTACTTCATTTAAAGTTGTAACATGCATAACTATGTCATACTTGGGACATATGGCAATGCTGAGCATCAAGGCTCCTAGCAGATCAGACACGGCGATTTCTGATAACGCATGTTGTTTTGTAGAATAAAAAACATACTTTCATAAAAAGACTGGGTACCCTTTCAGCAAAGCAGAATAGTGAGAATGATTAGAATTGATGTAAACATATTCTTTGTCCATATCGCAATGGTAAAGTCTGAGCTGACTGAGAATCATGGGGAATATATCTGAGGTGACAAGTGTTAATATAGAAGATTTTGGCCTTTTCTCTAATGGGTTCTTAAAGATGCTTCTGACATGACATATAGCCCAACCAGGCTTTTTTACTTCAAAGCCCAAGTAGTCAAATTAGAGGCATAAAATGTATCCAGTTCAGCTACTTTTACTGTGAATTTGAAATTCACGGTAAAATAAACCCTGTTGCCCTTGAAAGAGTCTCTATCTGCCTCAGAAAGCAGCATGTTGGAAGATTCTAAAGAAATGTAAATGTTAAGCTCATGAGATATGAAGAACAATGGTGTTTTCCATACACAGTACTAAGTTAAAGGAGAAAAGGACTATGGTCCGGGTTCAGTTTCAGTCATAGGAACCTGAATCCACACAGTTTGTGGAACATTATGCTTCTCGTTATACTGACAATAAGGCTACATATAAACTCATTCACATGGATCTGAAAATGGTCAATATTGACCGATCTGACAATAGCTCATTGGGAGTGACTTATAGGTCCCAATGTTTTACTATGACATTCAGTATTCTTAACTATGTATTTTTTTTCTATTCAGATGAAAGATTGTTTAAATGTTTGCTCACAGGACCTTGTTTACTAACCAGTCACACACCTCTTTTTCATGTTTGCCTCCACGCACCTCATCATCGACCCTATTGCATTGTGCATTTAGTGCTGTTTCTTTGCCTTTTCTTATATGTCCCCTTGCTGTTTGCAACTGAGATTTTAAAAAACTATTTTTGAATGAGTAGTCCACATAGTATCTCCCTATCAAATTTATTGGAGAAATGAACTGTTCCATCTGAAAGGCTCATAGGCATTATTTGACAAAACTAGAACCCTCAGCTAGCGTTGTACGCATGCTGTGTCCTATTATGTGGACAACTCAACAAACAGTGTACAAAATGCAAACTACGAAATAAAAAAATATAATGAACCATATTATGCACCACATTACTTGAGACTAGAGTCAGAGTATTACAGATATTTATGGAATAGCCTGCTTCCGCCATCAGACTCTCCCCTAGTCTTTAGGAAGTGCCTTAAAACCCATCTCTTTAGGAAAGCTTATGGCCTCCCAGAGTAATCTCACATACCTGTCTCTTGCTCTCTCCTCAAGGGCAGCACTCTATTCTCTCCTCCAGCTCTGCTTCACTCCCACCTGATTTGATTGCTATTTCCTGTCCAATTGTGTATTATACCCCACCTCCTATAGACAGTAAACTCTTTGAGCATGGTCCTCTTCAACCTATCGTTCCTGTAAGTTTTCTTGTAATTGTCCTATTTATAGATAAATCCCCCCTCTCATAATATTGTAAAGCACTACGGAATCTGTTGGCGTTATATAAATGGCAATCATATTAATAATAATAATTATATAGCATTGGAAGGAGAAGAAGAAAGTGTGAGGATGTGACCCAAGAGAAACAATGAAACGAGACAGAGAAGAAAAGAATGAGGATGATAAGTACTCCAGCCAGTTACACCATATTTTAGTACAGTATATTCATCGCAATTTGTATGCTCACCATTGCCATCTGCCCAGTCTCCTAAACCTCAAGATGTATATCGCTGCAGGAGGCTGTTTTTTTTTTCTTTAACAAAGTTGCATTACAACCTTTACTGCGTTTAGCAATTGATTGATTTTTTTTTCAATTTACTTAATTTACATATATAAAGACCAATGTATGTTGTGGACCAGAAAAGTCATAGAAAAAAAGAACTTTCATTGTTCTGTGTCTTTGTAAACATTTCTCCAAAATCCCTATATTTGGAGAGTATGCTACCACAGTTGGCGAAAGCCGCACTCTTACAGGTATCTTACACAATCTAGTATGAAGGGCATAGTTTGTAAGACATGACTTCAGTCTTCACACTATGCAGACCTTTCAACAGTCATGCTTTCGGAGGGACAGTCTTTCTGGGTCTTGTCCCACTGTCCCATCTGGTAACTGTGTGTTCAACTCTTGGGCTGGTAGTATTTAGTAAGAGGAATTTCACAATTTCTATCTTCTGCAAGAATTTCAAACTAAAGTTGGCATGAATAAATGGTAACAAAAGTTTTTTTAATGAATTATTTCTAGTGTTTAGAATGGTGGTGACCTAAAAAAAAATGCCAAAAAGGGCATTATAATTTTGCAATTTTTTAAAGTTAGAAGGGTTGGAGTAACCCTTTAGGCTGGAGAAGACATGTTAGGGTGTCATAATATGGAGAGTTTGGAATAAGTATAGTACCAGAGCAAAATTTAATTTTTATTCCATTAATGTGGCCTTTCCAAGACAGGCAAGGTAGATCGATTGCCCCAAATGCTTCAAGAACTTCATAGAGAGAAGTATAAAACTGCTCTTATAAAGAATCGTTCCCATTATATCTCATTTCTTTAAGTGTTTCCAACCACACATCCCTGCAAGTCATGCAGTAACAAGTTAAGTTGTTTTTTTTAGCATTATCCTGAGAGTATTGTTCTAATAGACTCTTTATCCTGTGAATCATCCAACCTGCAAGTTAAATCTGTCATGGTGATCGATCGATACCTAAACTCAAGGACATTAACAAATCTGCTCCCAGTGGTCCCAGCTAAAGCAAAGCTATGTATAAATGACTTAATAATGAACTAAATAGATTGATACACTGTTCTGCCTGGTACCAGGGAAGGAAATTCATTATATGAAATCATTGCAGTGAGGTGAAATAAACTGCGGCGATGTTAACATAATGAAGATAAATCAATTCAAATAATCAATTTAAAGGGAAACTCGTATACTATGAGAGTCCAAGATACTGATCTATTTTTTGTTTCGTCATATTTTCAAAGCTGAACCTGACTTAAAGGGTTAAGTGGTCCAATCTCATTTAGGAGGTTGGGTAATGATTTTCAATAAAAGGTTTAATTAATTCTGGCCATGGTGCTCACATAATTTATTAGTAACAATTGTTACATTTTCTAATGAAGACACCAGGGAAATGGACACTTAATTTGGACGTCAGGGTTAACATGTTGAGTGTCAGAAGAGATGAATGAATGAATGCATTGCTTTGTAAAGGGGAAGAAGAAAATTGATGTTATACTGTGGTTTATAGAGTGTAATCCTCATAAGGATGTAACCAGACAATGGCATTATTGGCAAAGACATGTTTCCCAGACTTTCTATCAGAACTATGTTGTGTCAGGTTAAAGGAAGAGACTTGCTCCTGAAAGTGGATTGTACTGTCCCAAAAAATGGCCAGGACTCTTACTGACATAGGGAGCAGACCATAAAGTAAACATGAAGATAGTGTTTTGGAGACAGAGAACAACAGGGAGGTAAATGTAATTAAAATACAAAATATAGGGGTTGCAGCTGTTAATCTCCAAAGAAAAAAACCACTAACATAGTGTAATACAGTACACATACGATTGCACTGCCAGAAATGCACTCAATAGATGGTTGATGAGTATGTCGCCATAAGGTGCCTCCCCTTGGAATTCTGGGGGATATTCCAAGTCTCCTCCAACTTTGTTAGTAATTATCACCACATACCAAAGAAAGGACTCCGCATTTAAGGGAAGAGTGGGACATCATATCTGTACTGTATTACACTATTTTAGGGTTTTATTTCCTTTGTAGATTCACAGATGCATCGCCTATATTTTGAATTTTGGCTCTGCTGTTTGGGGATAATATCTGGGATATCCTCAGGGGAAGCTGTACATTTCTAACAAACAATAAATCCTTTACCACATTATACACCTAGTGGTGAGGGTGTGGGAATTTCTGTATATAATGTACCTGTAATTCCATTAATTTGGATATTAAATCACGTCCTCATAGCTCCATCAATGAACCAACGCTCAGAGGACATATCTAGCATGCTCTCGGACATAATTAATTATCTTGACTGTTCTTGGGTCTGTGATTGGTGCTAATACCTCTCAAAGGTGATAATCTA